TGTTCTTCTTTTGACATTCTTGATTGAAGGAGGGGCTGGTGAGACACTGTTACACAAGTATTTACATAGTATCACTTTGTTACTGGAGAACCAGGATTTTACAGCCCAGCTGTCTTTAGGGACTACCTAAAATATATAGAAAGAAAATGTTAAGGATGAAAGGGAATTTGCTGTGAGAGTACAAGAGGAGGGAGTTAATGAAAGGTAAGAGTCTGTAGGTCATAGATGGATCATGGAATAGTGAAAAATTCTTAGTGTAGGTAAAGAAAACTTAACCAATAGAGAATACAATTCCATGAAAGCATTGAGTTGTTGAAACACTTATTGATGAAGATCAAAGGCTGCAGCTTTAGTATGGATTACAACTCCATGTGAAGGAAACAAATTCTCACAGCTGGACTAAAACAGAGAAAAGATTGAAGTTGTCAAGGGTTTCACTTAACTGGGGTCATAAAGAATTAAATGATGTCCTGCACTGGACGTGCTGCACAGGCCTTCTTTAATGTGCTAGAGAACAGAGTTAACACTTTGAGGACTAAGATGTGCACTGACTCAAGCTGTGATGTTTTTGATTCCCTCAAATGCATGCACAAACTGGAGAGTGAATAAGGAAGACGAGAAGAACTGATGCATTTGGTTTTAGTATTGGTGAAGCATATTGAAAGTGGACTGCCAAAACAACAAACAAATGTCTTAGAACAAGTACAGCCAGAAAACTCCTTAAACTTAGAAGTGAGAATGGTGAGAGCTTGTTTATATTAGAAGACATTCCTATTTGAAAATCAAATCTAGTTATTGCATAAGCCTTGTGAATTAGATGATGGCTTACAGATCAGATCATTATTTTTGCTTTCGACAACTTAAATAACTTATCAAACCTCCTAGTGACTTGCCCTGTTTCCTGTTCTCATCTCCCTCTTGGGCTGTGTACATCTTCCCCTTCTCGCAGACGGTCAGCACCTGTCTCCTCTCCAACCTGTGCTTCCCCTTTCCTGCTTCCCCTTGCCTCCCTGGAAACCATCAGAGTCGGCCTGTTTGGGTATGAAAACCTTTTCTTTTTTTTAACATTAGACTCATACAATATTTGCCCTTTTGTGTTTGACAAACCACTCAGCATAAGGATATTAAGGCTAGTTTTTATAGTACTGGATGGTTTGAATTGTTTTTGAATAGGAAGTTTTTTGTTGTTTTTTTTTCCCCTCAACTGTTTTAAATTCTTTTTTTTTTAAATCATTTTATTAGGGGCTCATACAACTCTTATCACAATCCATACACACATCAATTGT